TGTTGAGAGCGATTTTATTTCCACAAGAAAATCTAGAAACACAAACAGTAAATCTAGAAACACAAACAGTAGTCGTCCCAACCGGACAACGTTTCCATTATCATAGTAACATAGAGCGAAAACAGTAGGATGTTTCTCCTGGCCATTTTTCCTGTTCTCATTTTTTTTTATCAAGAAGTCCTGTTTCACTTTCCCAACTTTTTCCTTGTATAAGTCGCAAAAAAAACTTTTCCCTTGTATACTGCTACTGCTCACAGTGCTCACAGCATGGACTACTTAGGACTAAGAGGCTCGGCCTGTTCGTTTGGCTGTGGCTTGTCGTAAACGATCGTAAATTTCTAGTCAGAACAGTATTTTTCTCTCACACAAACCAGCTAGCAGTACTTCTTCACGAACCAGCCACGAAACGAACCAGCCAACCGAACAGGCTATTAGGTGTTGTTTGGTTGACAAATGTAAATGCAAACGATAATGAAATAAAATTATGGTGGCACCGTAACCGATGTATCAAATCACGACTTTTGTTTGGTTTAATTAGTCTGGTAATGGAATCGAAAAAGCTTCGCTGCTCTCGCGTCCTCGACAGTGGAGCTTGCTCAGCAGCTCATGTGCCCATGTGAAGATGCAGAACGCCAGGAGTTGCCTTGACTGCATATCTGTGAGCCCAACTGCTCTACAGCCTAAACGACATTCGATTACACTTGATTTTGAGCGGTATCTGATTTGCACTGGCCCATATCGGATTGTGAGGCACTCATTTACCGAGGTAGCTGAAACAAACGCATGATAACGCAATTCATTACCCGTGTAATCATATCCCGTTACATTTCCACCAACCAAACGCCTTATCTTAGGGTTTTCTTGGTTCAGTTGTGAACTATAGAAAAGTTGTCACGATCTATAGTTCTATATATTTGTGGAAAAGCTACAGGTGTTTGGTTAAAACAACTATGAAACATAATCTCTCTTTTTATCTCTCTTGAAACAACTACAAGGTTAAGGGTGCTGCGAAAGTTGCACTACACAAAATTAAAGCAGCAGCTTCTAAAAAACATCTTCAGATTCTACCTGTTTGGTTGACGTTATTTTAACAAACCAAAAGTATTTTCCAAAAACTAAACTAAAGACAGCACTAATTTACTTGAGCAACACGCTACTGCTTACAACATGGACTACTTTTTTTTTTGGGGGGGCTAGGATGTAGCTGCGCGTGTTATGCATAGTGGCCCAAAAAACCTGGGCATCCATTGATTCTTTTCTATTTTCTTTGCAGTTCATATTTTTTAGGTATTCTATAAAAATTTAAAATAATATTTGATGTTTGTTTATGGTATATGCTAAGTGAAATCTCATACAAATATTATGTATAATATATGATATATGTAACAATACAAATATCACAAATTGGTATTGTTTATGGGTAAAGTCAGATCTAACTCACTAAATTCTAAACTTAGAAAACACCCTTGATCTCTTATATCAGATAACTTGTTTCAAAACAAATAAATTACACCCAGGATAGTTCACAGTGGTTTTGATTGTGGTGTTGGCTAACATGACACGTGGGTCACACATGTCTTCTATTTTTAGTTATGCCATCTTTTATTGAATATTTGGGGTCCTAAATGACAAAATTTGAATGCAATGGAAATGATCTTATAGGCCATTAATTTTGGATTTTGGTGTTTGATGATCAATATGACTATTTGGACTAATATTGTTTGCTAGTATATTTGGTATAGTTCAATAGGATGCAAATTGGACTTCAACCAAGGCAAAATAGTGATCCGGATGATCAACACCTCAAGCAAGACCTTAAGAGCATATTTGAATACCACAAAATGAAGTTAGAAGTCCAAGACACAAAGACGAAGAAGCCTGGAACAAAGGACATGGAGAACAAAGGCGAAGGGAAGGAAATGGGTTGCTACTGATCCTCATGGTGGGACCGGGTCACTATGGTGGGATCGCCAGCATCGAAATGTGTGGATGCGTGTGAAAGGTGGCCATCGGATCATGCGGTACAAGGTTTGGGGCTCGGGCCCACAAACCAGTCCCTTACGGTGGGACCGTCAACCATGGTTGTGTGCTTACTTTCCAAGCTTAGATTGATAGGTTAGTTGATATGATTGGAACCTAGGTTGCATAAATATTTGCGATAGATATAATAATATACCTAGCAAAATCTTAGTTGCATATTAGATAGATTATTTATTGCATAAGTTTTGACTAGGCAAATTTTAGAGGCCATAGTTTGAGAAATATATTTTAAGTTGCCTAATTCATTCTCCTGTTAGGTGTCACGGTCCCTTCAATGGACTAGAAAGCTTCAGATCTCTTCAAACACAAAAAAAGTCAATATAGAGTATGTCTTCATTCAAGGTTGTTTAGAAATTTTAAAAGTTTGAATTTGCCTCTAAATAATCTCAAATAAAAAAGTTCAAGTTCAAAGTTATTGATCGCATTGAGATCTATAACTTTAGTATAAACCATGTCAATGTACGAGTTCGTTCAACAAATTTTAAAAAATGAATTTTAAAATCTTTGAAATTAAACCAAATATTTGGGCATCTAAATGATCTTGGAAAAAATGTTGTCAACTGCAAACCAAACTTTTAGATCCCATTTAGAGTTACAACTTTGGTATATACCACATTAACATCCAAGGTCATTTGCGAAAGGGTATGTAGCCTGGTAGTTATAAGAGCCTCAGTAGCACCTTAGGTCCAGATTTAACGGCATTTGTGTTTTCAGTGGTAGGCGACATTTCCGTCGATAGCGAGGCGTCTGTGGTGACTTCGTCAATCTCAAAGATTTCACGACCCAATCTTCGAAGATGCTCATATGTGTAGGGTTTGCGTGCATGCATTCATAGATGTGAGTGTGCTTTCGTTCTGAGTGTTGTGTAATCGCAAAATAAAAACATCCAAGGTCATTTGAAATTTTTTAAAAAATATATAAATTTCAAGATCTGAGAACTTAAAAACGGATATCTAGGCATCTAATCGATCTCAAACAAAAAAAAATTGTGAACAACAAATTTAGATCGCATTGAGCCTAAAAATTTAGTATAGACCATGTCAACATTCTATTTCTAGGTTATTTGAAAATTAAAAAATTAGAATTCAAATGTGATAACGAACGAATATTTAAGCAACTAAAACATCTCATTAAAAAAATTGTCAACTACAGAGTTATAGATCGCATCAACCCTACAATTTTGATATGTAGTTTGTATTTATCTAACTTTATATAAAAAAAAAGTTATTATTTTTTGATAGGGTTCAGTGTACGTATACGTACGAGTGTCTATACTGTGATTCCCAAAAACAAAGAAAAAATACCTGACATGTGCGCTCCGGAGGCAGCAAAACCACCCAAGAGCCCATTTTAAAATGATCGATGGGGGTATTTTACCTGGTTTTGAAAATTAATGTGTCTGTCATCTGGCATTAGAGTTCGAGGACGCATTGTAAATTCGGTGATTAGTTCAGAGAGATAAATCAAATTTTACTCTTGTTTTAGTATTGTTTCTCGAGCTCTCTGATTTGAAATATCTGTGTTTTCGATCGAATTGTTTCATTTCCGACATTCTATATTTCCGTTTTCGTTTCACCGATCGGATTCGTCCCCGATTCTGATTACCATAGCGTTGAGCACACGGCGGCGGTGCGATCGTCAATGTCGACACGCGCCAAACCATGGCGGTTGGTTGCAGGCTACAGGCTTCCTGGTTCCAGCTCGCGAGCTTCTTGCATGCGTTCGCGATCCAAAACCCCGGCCGGCTCCTATCGGAGTCGGAGCAGCGGCATCCTCGAAACCGCGTTCCGCTCGCCGGCCGGTGCGCGCTGCCCGGGTAATAAATACGGCGCCCATGTCGCCGATCCATCCATCCATCCGCCCACCACCTATCTTTCTTCCTTTCCCTGCTTTCGATCGCCATGTGAAGCCTCGCTCCCCGCGCCGCCGCTCCAGGCTTCGGCGCCACCGCGTTCCTCGACCGGCAGCGGGGCGTCGTCGCCGCGGTGGCTCCCGCCGCTACTTCGGGCGACAACGCTGGGGAGCCGACCCGCCGCGCCCACGCCTCCGCGTTCCTCCGAGCTTGCGCGCGCAGCCGCAAGGGAGGAGTTCCGGCAGATGCTGCTGGAGATGGAGAAGTCGGCGCTGCCCGATGAGACGATATACCCGGAGGACCTAGAGGAGCTCGGCATACCATTCGAGTTTGTCGTGACTCGGACGTGGAAGCAGGCGTGGCTGGAAGATCACGCCAAGAAAGTGGAGTCCGTAGGCGTCTAAATCCCACGGATGCATATGCATCATAGCATTATCTTGGTTTTGCATGTACCCTTCTTCCGTGCTTAACTAGTTGACTGTTTGTATGCTGTCTTCAAGTAACTGATCTTGACTGTTTGTATGCTGTCTTCAAGTAACTGATCTTGTAAAATTCAGATCGTGAATTTATTCTATAGCTTGTAAAATTCAGATTGTGAATTTATTCTATAGATGTGTTTGCATGTTCAGGCTTTCAGTACTCCTCTTATAACGCTGAACTTTCAGGATATCATTCTCTGTACGTTCTACAAACAAGCATCTTTTCATGTAAACTCGTTCCCTGAAGCACATGAGGTAATTGAAGAACAAAACAGAAACAAAAATAATAAAACATTACAATATCAGCAACGCTGGTTTTAAGTTAGCTGATGACTCGTTATAATCATATTGTGTAATATATGTAACAATGGCTCATATCATTACATAGCTGTTTCAGTGCCTCTGATCCTGATGGAGCTATCGGCTGAAGAATCTTGTACGTATAATACCACTCAGCATTGTTGGTCTCCAAGAACAGTGCATGGTAAACACTGGCAACTGCAGATACAACAAGTTACAGATAGCTGGGCACCTGGTTTCTGCCCAGCTATGTTTTGAAAATGGGGAAAGTCGAAGAAGAGAAAATTAGCCGACAAAAAAGGAAACTTCATGTTGTTGCAGATGACCCATCAGAGTGATCTGAAACTTTCTACAGGGTCCGAGTCCTCAAGCATTGAGGCCGCCTGGAAGCAATCCGCGGCATCAGCTAGCCTGCCGTCCTGCTTGTGAACCTCCCCCAGGTAGAACCAAGCCATTCGGTTTGTGGGTTCGAGCCTTAGGGCATCTGAGAGGAAACACCTCGCCACAGGTAGGAACTTGGGCCCTTGTTTACAGAGGAGGGCACCGATAGAGACCTTGGATGGGACATGCTCTACCTCCATAGAGAGGGCGTTGAAGTATGCAGCCAGCGCATCCTGTGTCTTCTCGTGCACCTCATGTATGTTACCTGGGGAAAGGCGAGGAATCACAGGATCAGATATATGCAACAACAAACACAAGATATAATCAACTTCTCAGGCTTACAAATATCTGGCCTATATGAGCATTAAAAGTCAAAAAAAGGGTGGACAGTATGCATTGTAAATGAATTATTATTTAATAGCCATTTATGATAACATACAAATATACAAACAGGCAGACATGAACGATACATTTCAAACTAAGTACATCCCCATTAGCCAGAGGCATAGGCATCACTAATGAAACATGAGTTGTAACAAAGTTTCCTCACCTTCTGCATGAAGGGTTGTTGCAGAATATGTTTTGAGGGCTTTAGCCTTCTGTAAGCAAATCTCTGCATCTCTCCAATAGGAAAGACTAGAGTACAAGTTGGCAAGACCTTGCCAAACTTCAAATTCGCTCACTTTATCCTCGTCATCCTGACAGAGTGTTCACATAGAATTAGACATCAAGAAGATATGTTAAGGTATAAGAAATGTAATTAGATGAAATTAGACTCTAGATAGGGTGCATCTATGTTAGTCCACTTCAGCAGTTAATACAAACACCAAAACAGCTCTCTTTTGGACAAACATAAATGCAGTTTCAAGAACAAATCTTTTGGATAACACTTTTCAGTGCGAGAATCTGGAATTCTGGACACCTTAGGGAAGAGGTAGTCTTTTTACATCTAAGAATCTCAAAAGCTTCTTTTACAAGCAAATACGGATTTCAAGCATGTTCACAGAAATCTCAAACATCCCATTAAAATAAAAACACTGTGCAAACTAAAAAATGATCTTTAGTATTTGAGAAGACAAACCTCTGTGCCATTTTTGGCAGATCCATAAGCCTTTCGTTGTGCCTGAACAAGAGCAAGAAGGGTGCGATATGCTTCAACTGCTTCCATGGGCAATGATTGAGCAACCTTCAATTTAGCCCTTATTCTAAGCAATGGCCCTTGTTCCCACTTCGCGGTCTCATCTAATGCCGCATCAGTCACAACTTCAGCTTCCGAATACCTTTGTTGTGCAGAAAGAACCAACGATAGCAACCTCCAACCTTTAGAGACAGATCCACCAGTTGCATCAATGAACTCCTTCAGACATTTCAAGGCAGCATGCATGTTCCGCTGCTCAGCATACTCAATCCCCATGTCAAATATTAATTCTGGGTTGTGATGGTCAAGAGAAATTGCCTCATTAAGTGACTTCAAAGCCTCAGTCTGCAAGAGAGATCTTTGGTGATCAGATGAAGCAACCTTAGACTTCTTGGACAGGCAACTCCCCAGAACATGGAGGGCCACACTCTTTAAATGGCCATCTGATGATTCAGCGTCTTTGACTGCTCTCTTTGCATACTCTACACCCTCAGAAGAAAGAAGATAACTGGAACTGCATATCTTGGCAGCTAACAGAAGGGCCATTATGTCATTCGGACTCTCGTTCTTATTCAAAGATTTTCTCAACAAGTTTAATGCAGTTTCATTATGAGAAGCTGCAAAATAGCACAACGCTAGACTATACCATCTCTCAGTTCGAGGGTATATTCCAGGTAAAACCTCTTCGAGGTGCTTGGCAAGAATAGATGTCTGGCCACATAGTGACAATGCAAAAGTTAAATGCTCCATAACAGATGGATCCCAGTGTGTCTTCCCAAGGAACCACTTCTTCAATAGTATCATGAGCAATAGGATTGCCTCTTCCAAATTATTCCTAGGAACAAATGAACCTTCAGTTTGTGAAGCCAAGCTCGGGGGGGCCACCTCTACACCACCGTACAACAAGAAAACAGCAAATCTCTTCTGAATCCTTGTGCAGCATTCATCATCGAGATTCCATTGACTTAGAAGAGCACGGCGGTATGAAGCAAGTGCTTCTTGATAGGCCCCAGCTTGCTTCCAAAGTTCTGGGAGAAGCTCAACAGATTTACTGACAGTTTCGTGCAGCTTTTGTTCAACCATAACACCAGGTATGCCACATTGGAAGATACTTTCAACAGCATCAAGGACACTTTTACACTGTTTAGCAGCCTCTGCAAGTCAATGGCTTCAGAAAGTCAGATAAGCCTAATTGGCTAATTGATATAATTATATAGTGAGATGAACAATTCATACCCATTGCCTTGCCCAACTTTTGGAGAGACATTGATTTCAAGTAAATGGCTTCAAGAACAAGGCTAGCAGCATGCTGTGATCCTGAATTTGATGAACCTGACCGTAATTTGTTATTTCGCTTCGAGAGTGGTTTTTCAGAAAGAGATGGTTGGAAGCGCTGAATAGCAGCTTGAAGGTCAATTCCATCAAATACTCGCAGAGCAGCTTCCACATTGCCTCTCTGATATTCCAGTCTCCCGAGGAGAGCTCTAGCTTCCTAATATTAACAGAAAATACAGAAACCACAGTTAGCAACAATAAATACAACTATAGTTTAGTATATCCCAGATAGAAGCTTATGTAGGTTGTTGATAAAAAGTTAATGAATACAAATATAGGAAAGCAGACTCTAGCGATAAAATTATTGAGGACAAAGATCGTCATGTGAAGGGCGAGCCTGGTGCAAGCGGTAGAGTCTTACCGCCTGTGACCGGAAGGTCCCGGGTTCGAGTTGCGGTCTCCTCGCATTGCACAGGCGAGGGTAAGGCTTGCCACTGACACCCTTCCCTAGACCCCACATAGAGCGGGAGCTCTCTGCACTGGGTACGCCCTTTTTTAACAAAGATCGTCATGTAAAAAAAAAGAATCGAATGCACAATTTTCACTGGGCACACACTATGACCATATCTCTTCTTTTTCCCTCTTGTTGTGTCATGTGGGGCAGCCAGGGGTTGCATGGTGACCGGCTGCATGGTGTCCAGAGGGGGCGCAATTACCGCAGCCAGATTTGGTCAGCAAAGGAGCAGCTGCGGATCAGCATGCAGGGAAGGCAAGATTTAAGGGCGGTGACCACGCCCATATGGCGCCAGCAGCAATCAAGGAGCAGCATGCAGATCAGCATGCAAGGAAGGCAAGAATTAGGGGATTTATGGGGAGTTATGGAGTCACTTTATTTAGCAGGCCAAGTGCCTATATATATATCCATGTACCAGCTCTCATGGGGATTAAGCAATAACAAGACAATTCTATCTCCCAATTCCCCTTCTTCAACAACAGGGCGCTGAGGGGTAAAACCTCGCCGCGAATCCAATTCCCCCAAATGCTCTAGTCTCCCACCATGCCGACTTTGCCCGGCCTTCCTCCTGGCAATGGTTATCCTCCAATTCCCCAAATGAACTAAGGTTCATAACATGTTGGTGACTGATGGTGGGTTTCATTTCCAGCCTATCCCAACTTGCTTGGGACTAAAATATATTTTTGTTGCAGTGGTGGTGGTGCTTTCTGGTTACAGTTACAGACCACAATCAAACAATCTTAGCTAGGATACATACAATTATCAATGTTGAAAAAAAGCTTTCAGAGCAAAAATAAGCCTACGAATAAGTGCCTTGACTTCCATCATCATTATCTAAACAACACAGGATTTAATTTGATATGGATGAAACAGTGCATAAAGTAACTCAGAACACAGTATAGAGAATTAAAGATTCTGAAATCTTGGCATCAACTATGTCACCGTTGTCCTACAAATGTGTCCAAGATTTTTTTGTTTGTCATAAAATAAGTTGATTCGACATTAGCTGGCATCAAAACTGCATTATTATTTTATAGAAAAAAAAAATAAAGAAACTGAAGGGAGTATCCTCTCGCCACAACAAACATTAAGGAAGAAAAGTACCAACTTGAACTAAACAGAGAAGAATAATCATCTGGTGATGATCATTCTGCTAAAGGAAGTGGATCGGGAGCGCATCAGGCATGTGGTGGAGGGCGTGATGCAATGGATGAAGACCTTCAAGCCCAGCGTGGTGGAGCTCCCTGATGTTGGCGAAATCTAGCGCCTGTAGCGATGTTTTGGAGTTCTTGTCTGGTGTATGCCTATAGAGGCCTAATGTTTCTCTTTTGCTTAGTTTCTGTTTTGGCCTTGGTTGATCTTGTGCTGGTTAAACTGGTAACCCCAGTCTTGTATCGGATGCTTCCTTTCTTAAAAGCAGAGGTAAAACTCTTTTTTTTTTTTAAATAATCGGGTGATGGTTTGAAATTCCACCCATAAAAATGAAATTGCTACAGCATTAAAATTGAACGTGCACAGTTGACCTTTGCATTATGGTTTTTGAGAACTAGAGAAAACAAAGGGAATGGTCATCCTTTTGTCAGTCACCACTAGAAACAGTAACATAAGAACATGCCAGTATCCAACCAAACAAAGAGGGTGATTTTCCACATTCAATTCCCATTTGTAGATAGTGTGAATTATTTCTAAATTCAACAAAAAATATCACCTTACTGTCTGATTTGAACTCCAAAAATGGCACCACCTTTGCTAGTTCTAGAATGGCGTGCAGCTCCCAAAGTCACCAAATAAAATCACAAGCCACAGGTGAAGCATAATCCTACAGCTAAACCAACAGCCACACATGCTATCTCCCAACAAACTGCCAAGTTCACAAGACAGCACCACATACCCACAACTCCGAATCATAATCGTATAGTTACACAATGAGCCACAAATTCACAAAATAACATAACCCACCAATAAAACAGTAATCATAATTCAAACGATTAGATCATTGGCCACATAATTGAACTAAAGCAATATCATTTCCAAACATACCCTCACTTGAATTCTGACAATTATGTATACCAACAACACAACAACTTCTACATTACTTTGGTTTTCAATATTGAAACTCTCCACGAAAAGTGGAAATTTTGGACGCAAGGAATAATCATTTCCATCATTTACAAATTCTGGATAGCTAAACCAAAAATGCTGCTCAACTAGACCAATCCACGCGATGTTCTGAAAAACATCACATAAGGATGGTCACTACGACCCATGAAAAGAACCAACATCGATCTCCCAGACGCAGTCCCCTTCCAAGTTCCAAATGAAATGAAAGGAACCAAACATAAAAACGCCATTTTGTGAGAGCGTATAGTTTCAGAGCCTGAAATTTCGCCGCATCCCGATCTCCCCCAAAGCGCAACAAAGAACGCCGCACGGACTCGCATTCACCACAAAGATTCCATCTTCCCACCCCATTTCGCCCAAACCACACCATAAATAACTGGATTCACGTTCCCCGATCAAGCCAAGAACGAGCGGCAGGGGGCAAAGAGATTTCGAGACCTCGTAGTTGAGGGAGAGGCCCTCGCGGAGCGACGACTCCGCTTCCTGGATGTTGCCGTCGTCGACCTTGGCCTCCGACGAGCCCGACACCGAGGCGCCCGCATCCGACTCCGGCAGCGCCGCCTTCCCCTTTACCGGGGACGCGGCGGCCGCCGGAGGCCAGTCCCCGGCGGGGCTCGCCTCGCTCCGGCTGTCCCACTCCGCCGCCGCCGCCGCCATCGCTGCCGTCGTCGATCCCGATGCGTCACCGCTACCGCCGCGGTAGCGGGATTCCTCCGGCGAGCATGCTAGGACAATGTGAGGGAAGGTGCCGTTGGGTACGACTAAATCTACGAGAGGGAGAAGGCGAGATCCAACTCTATTCTTGGGACTTTCGGGAGCTCTTGTTTTGTTTTTGTTTCCCCCCGGCCCCGGAGGTGTTTGGCAGTGGCAGGCCATCTCTCGAGGAAAACACCTTTCTATTTTGCGGTATTTCTCCAATGTGAATTCGGCAGTTTTTTTTATGTAAAATTTGACAGTAAAACTTGGCCAATTTGCAAAAGGCTGCCTACAAACCAGTGAGAGTTGCTAAAGTACCATCGAGTCAGTAAAAACAAACTTTTGCTGCATTTTATGGACACCCGTGATGCTAAAATCCTCATCGTAATTTTAGTTTTGAACGGACTCGAAAAAAATAGTTCAATGCTTTAAATTTTAACATGCAAGTAGATCTAATCGCAGTGCAAAATTTAGAGTTTGTTGGATAAAGTAAAATAAATGTCTTCAAGTTGCTCATTCTCTAGTCTAGTTATAAGATTTTAGAGTTTGGTTGGTTTAGCTCTAAAAGTTAATAGAGTTGTGAGGTGTGAAAAAACTGTTGTACGCTGTGTGGTAAAAAAAAATTATAACTATTTAGTCAAAACAACTAACTTACTCACACTCTTTTTGTCTCCCTTGAAACAGTTGTAAATAAACCTCTCTTCATCCTTTTGGAAAAACGGAAAGAAACCAAAAGCAAGATTCAAGATATTATGAAAATTGTACTATACGAAGGCAGCTTCGTTTAATTGGTGTTCTTCTTTTTGATTGACGAAACATTTTTTAAAGCTAAAGCAAACACAACCTAAGAATAACTAATCCCTATGCCCTAAAACTCATATTTTGTCCAAATTCATAACTAAAATGTCGACTACTTTAGTATGGAAGGAGTAAGTTATAAAATCCTTGGTTTTGAGGCTTTAGGACCCAAATGAATCTATCTCTCAGAACATGTATCGAAATAATTAGCGTCATGTTTTTCAGCACTACTTCAGCAATACTTTTCAGCATTAGCATCAGCAGCAGCTAAATTTTAGTGAAACGAACAGGGCATAAATCATAGAAGTTATGTCATTAGAATCTATGGGTCTCAGACCCCATATAATCCTAGATAATTAGATCATAGAAATGATGTCGACGCAAGTCATATATAATCACAATGGTATGCATAAACATTTATTAACGAAGTCGTCTATGATAGTTTAAGAGATACAAGATTGCTAATGTAATGTTATGTACATTTCTAGTATTCGTGGCAAGTAGTACATCTCAGTTCAAAATGAGAACCGAGGTAAGCTGATAAACAATGGCTGACTATGGTAGGAAGACTCAAACGATATAAGGCTGTCTTCAATAGGAGACCCAAATTTAAAATGGGTCTTCAATAGAATATCTATAGCCTTTAATATAGTACCTATATGGAATATTTATTTTGGGTATCAGGAGAGGTATAACCCAAATCTGAGTATCCTCTCCTGGAGACCCATTTGCAGAAAGGATTTTCTTTTGGATCTTGTTGTTGAAAAAGACAAAAAAAATATATTGAACCATTTACCTGTAGCGTTACTCAAACATGAAATAGATCTTGGGTAGGGGTTCTTCTCGGAGACAGTGAGTTGGAATATGCCTAATCAACTCCTCCAACATTATTAATTATTACAACTTGCAAGCAATGACACCCTCAAAACCTGAACCTCTGACTATCTGAAAGATGCTGCTGCAGGCTGCAGCCGGCATTTTCTCCCTGTCATGATGCTGCCAGGTTGGTAAAGCTTCCAATGTCCCCTAGGCAAAGCATCCTCATGGCCAGGAGCTTTGGGGACTGCGAAGTGCAATTCAGCTGGAGCTTTCCGGGCGGTGGGCCCGGCCCATGTATATGCCCTTTTTCAGTGACAGGGGCCACACCGTCTCAGAAAGGTCGGGGCAGCCTTGCTTGGATGGATTCTGGAGCAGGAAGCAAAAGAAAATGGTCCCTGGGCCCTGGAGGGAAACAAACGTGTACTAATTTGATTACAAAAAGCTTGATGCATCCGTCCTTCGACTTTTGTTCGAAACTCCCAAGCTTACGAGACTACGAGAGGTGATTGCCTAAGAAATAATATTCAGGATACGAATTTGGTCCAAATTTTTATTGCATTCGCGCAATCGCGTTGCCATTTTGTCTACGCAACAAAGGTATAAAAATTTGAGAGTATGCTCACTTTTCAAATATTGTATTGTATTTTATAAAAATAATAGCAATTAGATTTTCCTCTAAAGAATCATAAATAATTTATTTTAAATAAAAAAACAGTCCATGACTTTCCTCAAAAATATAATATGTGTATTACTGTTAGATTTGTAGTTATTTGGATTGTATTTGTATTTATTCCTATTCTTTTGTTGCATGTAATCATATTTATTTCAATCGTCATTTTATGCTATTGATCCTTGAGACAATCCAAGAGAAATTTATACTCCAAATAGAGTACTAAATATTGTCCATCCAATCAACCAAATTATTTTTAGAGGGCTATTCCATACTAGTTGTAATACCTAAATATGATCAATATGTGGTAGAGCATGATACCAGCATGATTAAATTTATTCATTATTGATAGTTCGATGGTTAGAGGTTTTTAATTTTAGATTTGGACCAAAAACAAACTAGGACAATAGTCGAATGTCTAAAATTTGACTCCTCCCAAAAATATAGCACTTTGATCTTTTGAGAAATTTTAGGTTAAAAAAGTAAGAACTATCTATCGATTTGCATTGGAGGGGTAAAAGATAAAAGGTACATGTTAGAAGGAACCTAAGTTGTGGACTAAAACTAAAATTTTGTCGGCCGGAACCCATTAGAAAAATAAAAAGAGGTAGGTTATATCCGTCATTTCATCTTGCTACTACCACTGTCATTATTTGCTGCCAGCATCTCGTTGTATGCAACCATCACCTCCATGGTCCATCTCTGTCCCTGTCTAGGGTGCAAGGTAGGTTGTCCGTGAACCTGTAAATAAGCTTAATTTTGCATGTTATATGCAAAAATAAACTTATTTTTTGGCTTTAGGTACGATCACCTTGAATCTCTACACTCGTCATCTGTTGTCGTAGTGGCGGACTCATAAATTGAATCATATCGAGCATGGGCGAAGGAAGTTTTCACTTTCATCCTAGTATATATAGAACAGGGTTGCAACCACAAGCCAATGTATATTAATGCTAGCCCTTTATTGTGATCATCATGTCTAAGAACGTTTTTCATTAAAAATAGAAAAGAGTTATATATAATTAATGGTCTTAGTAAGTACTCTCTCCAGGTTGGTAAAAGAAGTCGTTTTAGACAACGACACGGTCTCAAAAGCATAACTTTGACTTCTTATTTTTATAAAAAAAAATATTTATTGAAAAGTGATACATGTATGCTTTTATAAAAGTATTTTTCAAGACAAATCTATTCATATAGTTCTTACATTTTTAAACTCAACAACTTAAAAGTTATTCATGATTTATATTCCCAATGTTTTTTTTTTGCGAGCATTTATATTCCTAATGTTTGACTCGAACCTTGTCTAAAACGATTTCTTTTACCAACCTGGAGGGAGTATAGGCTTACCAAGATTATATCATCACAATCTCTGCAAGAAATAGTGGTGAACCCTAGTCTCTTCTGACCGTGCTATCAGAAGCGTCCGACCAATGGTGCCGAGAAATCCCATCAGGGGAGATAAGCATGCTGTGCCGAAAAAATAGTTATAATTATTAATGGTCTTAGTAAGTATAGGCTTACCAAGACTATATCATCACAATCTCTACAGGAATAGTGGTGAACCCTAGTCTCTTCTGGCCGTTACATTGTGCTAGCGTAAGCGTCCAACCAATGGTGCCGAGAAATCCCGTCAGGAAATAACGAGTTCGTTTGCATCTATCCATTTGCTGCATAATCCAAACCTCTCTAGTTTTGTATAGTGTGTGCTAGGCTAGATAATTGTACAGTCACATAGTTAAATTGATATACCTAGGAGCAAAAAAAAAAGGAAAAAGCGCATGCAATACATTCACAGTTTGACAGCTCTGCTTGCATGCATGGTTCCCTGCCGCTGACTGTTCGGTTGGCTGATTCATATCGTTGCTGGTTCGTAAAGAAATACTGCTGTCTGGTTTATGTGAGAGAAAAATACTGTTTCGACTAGAATTTTACGATCGTTTACGACGAACCACAACCAAACGAACGGGCTGCTTCCTACGTTCAGTGCTAGTGTCCTACGTTCTGTCACCAGCTCCGCTCAGGGTCAGCACAGCATGCTTGTACGAGCGCTTGATTTTGTGCAGCAGCAGCAGGCCTCTGCTCCCGCACTGCCGGAGCTCGTCTACTAGCGCTAGCGCCCCCCATTGACGGCCGGCCGAGCTCCTTCCATCGGCATCAGTCACGGGATACACATATAGCTCTGTTCTGCTGCTTCTGCTTCATTGGTGCAGGTCCGGTCAGAGGAGGAAGGGGCGTGGCCATGCGCATCACATCCAAGAAGAACAAGTCAAGGATCCTCTTCTGCTCTCCACTCGTTGCCTTTGGCTTGACAAGCTCAGGAATCTCTATCGTTGTCGTGCTCGCAAGATGTTTGATGTACCACCGTCTCTGCTTGACTGCTTGTGATTTTCAGTTATACGAACAAGCACATGTAGTGCTTTGATTCTACTATCGGTCTCATGATCTTAGAGTGTGTTTGGCAGAGCTTAGGCTGTCTTCAACAGGAGATTCATCGTGGAACTCAAACTTAAAATGGGTCTTCAAAACAATATCTATAGCCTTCAACAGAGTACCTGTATGGAAGATCTATTTTAGATGCCAGGAGAAGCATAATCCAAATCTAAGTATCATCTCTTCTGGAGACCCATTTGCAGAAAGGGTTGTCTTTTGGGTCTTATTGTTGGAGAAGACTAAA